TGCTGACCGAGCGCAGCTCAGATCCTTCTGCTTCGGCGCTGTGGCAGCCGCTCCCACTCGACTGGAGCTGCTACGTGAATGAGAACCTCCCTGCATCTTTGGGTTACACTTTGCCACTGACATTCCTAAGGCTGCCAGAAAGCCTGGACGCGAGTGAGCCAGCAGGATGCTGGGCGAGCCAGCGGGATGTGCAACAAAGCTGCGCAGAGCACACAAGGCAGCGCCCTTACATAAGGGACTCCGTCTCATTCTGCCCCACCGGCCTTGGGACCCCAGTCCTGCCTCCGAGAAATAATAAACCCAACTCATAGGGGGCGGGGGGGGGAGCGGGGGGGTGTCACAGCTCTATCTTCAGTTAAATTCGTGAACACCAAGGATGTCCTGCATTGAAAAGGGCTGTTCAGAAAGTAGTAAATTCTTGAACGTCTAAATTTTCTTTCAAATTATTTGGCCTCTTTTCCTATTGTTTTAATAAATAAAATTTTCCTATGACGATACCGCATTTCCTAAGAGGATGAACACACAGTGGGAGAAAAGAGATTTGCTATTCATAAGATCAGAAGTGCTGTTCATCTGTGGGAGATCATAAGAGACTGTTTTCTCCCCAGCTTAGCATCAGTCTTTTCACGCTGATATCATGAATCAGAATGAAATGTAAAACTGAGAATTTAGTCAACACTTGGAATAAGGAGATTGTTCTGTTTATAGAAATCGCCTCTACCTAGCAGTGGGCTATTAAAGCCACAGACTACATTAGCAGTCAAGCACCTAAAAGTTTAGCAATCATATGATTAACAAGTTGAAAACAGAAAAGTATAACAAGCAAAATATAGAGGGAGAAGACGGTGACCTATATTATAGTTAATTATCAAAACGGGAATGCTAAAATAAAAAACCATGGGTGTGGACTCAACAATTATAGCATCGGGGCCACCCACGGTATGCGGGGCAGCCACGAGCAAAGGCGCCACCAGGCCCAACTAACTCACCTCCACCATCCTGGGCGTCCCGGCATCTGGGAGGGCTGACTGCACCATGATTCGAGGCACGGGCTGAGGAAACAAGGGAACAGGTGGACACAGGGATCAGGGGAAGCAGAACAGAATAACCAGAGAAGATTTCAACTGAACTGACAGGAGGGCTGTCAGGATGACCCACACAAAGCGAACTTTTACAACTTTCAGGAATTCTAACAAGTCACTGCCTAGCAGGCCTGCCCGGGGCTGGGGTCGGGACGCTGCAGAGGAAACATGAGAAGCCGGGAGCTCAGCCAGCTGCTCGTGCCCAGCTGGCAACACCAGACACGTGCTGAAGACAGTAAGGTGTATGGTGTGCTCTCTCCACTCTCGCATGGCACACGTTAGCCAAGGGCTGCGACTCTACATACAAGCGTTACAGGACTTCACTGGCCTGGGACACTCCTGGTCGAGAGGATCACAGGCAGTGCCGTCACAGGAAGCAAGGAGGACAGAAGCCAGTGTGGCTGGAGCACGAGGCACAGCAGGACAGGGATGTGGACAGAGGCTCTGGGGTCTGAACTAAAGCTCCTGGGCAATGGTAAGGACCCCTGCAACACCTGGGCAGAAAGGGCAGGACATGAAGACCGACCTGCTGGTGGAAGGCAGGCTGGCTGGAGAAACAGTGCAAGAGTGAGGCGGGCCAATCACAGGCTCCAGCAACAGAGCAGGGGTGAGTGACGAGAGCCTGAGTTAATGGGCACAAGTGACATCACAAGAATGGAGTAGGCTGCTTATGGACACGTGGTTCAAGGAACGTTTACAAAAAGAGTAAAAAAAAAAAAAAAAAAAAAAAAAAAAAAAAAAAAAAAAAAAGACAAAAACTAGGGGGCTCCCCTGGCGGCGCAGTGGTTAAGAACCTGCCTGCCAATGCAGGGGTCATGGGTTTGAGCCCTGGGAAGATCCCACATGCTGCAGAGCAACGAAGCCCGTGCGCCACGACTACTGAGCCTGCGCTCTAGAGCCCGTGAGCCACAACTACTGAGCCCATGTGCCACAGCTACTAAGCCTGTGCTCTGGAGCCCGTGCCTGGCAACAAGAGAAGCCACCGCAATGAGAAGCCCGTGCACCACAACAAAGAGCAGCCCCTGCTCGCTGCAGCTAGAGAAAGCCCGCATGCAGCAACGAAGACCCAACGCAGCCAAAAATAAATAAAGAAAAACAAAAACAAGCCTCAGGATAAGGAAAACAGACCTCAAAGGAGGAGCTGGTAACCGTGAAGGAGTTGGTAGCTGCTGAGTTCACTACAGCAGGTGGGGAAGGGCACAGAGTAGATGCAGTCATCTCGAAGAAGCCCGGGGTCCACCACATCCGCCTTTATTCTCTCAACCAACGTCTGGCCCCTTCCCAGGCCTGCCTGCTCCGACGCACAAGTCTGGACCTCGCCTCAGAGAGCTGGGCTCTAAGAGGGCTCCGTCCTGGCAAAATGAACACCTACCCGCAGTCCTGTCTCACAGAAGGAGTCAAAATTGGGTGTCGGAGTTTGTTTCCATGCAGTTACGCGTGTCTCTTCTCTTGCTGGCTCACTGATCTACTATCTAATCTAAGTTGCCCGGAGATCCCTCCAGGTCCCTTCCTCTGGCCCTGAGCACTCCAGGTCCTCCCAGGTCCCTGATGCATCTGGGGGCCCAGGGGCCTCTGCTGTCACGACTCCCCAGACAGTCTGCAGGCACGAAGGCTGATGGCCAGTCTTGCTTCCTACTTGGCAGCCCAGACTCTTAATTGAAGCGAGAAGAGCCCACCTGCAACAAGATGGCCCACTGAGGGTGGCTGTCGACCTGCTGTGTTCACACACCAAACAATCGCGTTTCAGCAAAGGTACCCTGGGACTTCCTTTGGGAGAAAAGAGCTAGAAGGGATTAATTTGGTAGAGGTGATGGACCAGCAACAGGATTTGGGCAAAAGCACAGAGGAGAGGTGATTAAATAGGAGATGGTAGGAGATCTAGCTAAACAGATGGGAGGACCTAGGGATAAAGGAAAGGAAGACGCACTCTACCCTGCAAACACTGGGGAATTCCTCGGGGTTGAAGGCCAGGGAGAGTGAGGATCAGAGGTGTGTTTAAGAGAGCCGGTGTGAGCAGGCACAGAATGAGGGAGGATGCCCGCTGGCGGCAATGCCACGGACACCCCGCCCGCCGCCGGGCTCACATCACTCCCTCCCACCCTTCGGCACCTGCCCCGTGCTCCCCGCTCCCTTCCAGGGGTTCTCCACTTCAAGCATGTACCCTTCACCCTGTCTTACAGTCCTTCAGTGCACGGCCTACTCCCTTTATTTCTATTTTTCCCATAGTGTCTGAAGTCCCCCACGAATGGAAAGGTGTTCAGAGCATAATTCTCAGTAAGGGCAGAAAAAAGTTTGTTAAGCTGGAACTCCAAAATACTTACAGTCTTCAGTTAGATCTTATTTAAAACCGACAAGATTGGTGTGAAACATTCTCCCTTAAGGCATAAAAACGTAAAAATACCACCAAGAATGGAACTATAGCCACCCAGGATGAAAGATTTTCTAAGATTCTTGTCCTCCTGAACGGAGCATGGAAAGATAACTGATACTTTTCTTTATGATTCAGAGTGATTTAAAAAATCCAATAAATGTTTGGAAAAGTATCTGCTGAAATGAATTAAAGGGCCAGCTTGACTGGGACGCGATGCTGGAACCCAGTGGACCCACAGGCTTCCTGGTGGGGCAGGGCCCCTGGCCGAGACTCTGTGGCTCCAGGCTACTAAGCTGAAGACTTCGAGTCCACCCCCGACCACCACTCACTCCCGACAACCACTTCTCCATCCGGCAACAGATCTGCTCCACAGAGATGCCTGCCCGACCCCCAGCATTCAGATGACGTGAGACCCAGACACTGGAATGGCTGAAAACCGTGTCAACAATAAGATCACATGAGGTCTGAGTGGGTCCTGAGTGCGACTTCACGTACTCTGCCCACACCCACTTTGCTTCACACCCTGGTAACCTCGGGGTGTCCCCGCCAAGGGGTGCTAGGTAGCAGTGGTTGCCAAACACCAGCTCTGGACAAGAGACGACCACAGGTGGATAGTCCTCCAGCAAGGGACATGCTAAAGAGGGGAGGGGCACAGGCATACAAGACTGGCCACGTTCTGGCTTCCGGGGAAGCCAGGTGCTGAGTACCCAGGGGTTCACTGTAATATCCACTCTACTTCTGCAGATTTCAAATTTTCCCATAATGCTGCCCTGCATGATGAACTTAACTGGGGCCCTGCTTCAATGTATAAACGTAGCTCAACAAGGACTCGGGCCTCAGGCGTACAAGGCACTGCAATAGCGCCGTGGGAACACAAAGACCTGAAGAATACGGGCTCACTCGCAACAAGGCAGCAATCCAGTTTGGGGGAAGGACGGTATGCAAATAACAAAAACGTCAAGGAAAACGACAGCTATCAGAATGACAGTTTCAAAGCAGAGGAGATTCTGAGGAGGAAGGGGTCATCCTGGGACCAGGCCTAGAACACCTCCATGAGGGTGATTTCACGTGAGACAGGGCTTGAAGACGGAATGGCTTTGCCCACAGCTGAGGGACACCTCGAACATAAAGAGCGGCGTGACAAAGGCAGGCTACCCTTTGTGTCTGGCGGTGTTCCCTCCTCGCTTCCCTGCCCAGGAAAAGCTACTCAACCTTCCAGGAGGCCTTGGGAGAGAGAGGATGATCTAGACTGACCAGTGCTGGGCAGAGGCAATGGAGGTCAGGGTGTGCAGAGGAGGCCTTGTATGTAAATTTATGGTGGATTTTCACAGGCAATGAAGAACTATCAAAGGTACTGAATGAAGCGGCCATAAGAATTAGGCTAACAGAAGACTATCCCTAAAGAGGGCAGACAGAAAACTTGAGAGGTCAATTAAGCAGCTGCTTCAATGGTTCAGCGGAGAGCCAATAACATAAGAGCCTGCACTTGGATGGTAAGAGGAAAAGGAAAGAGAAACGAAAATTTAGAGATATGGAGACTCCTGAACACCTGGAAACCGGGGGGAGAGCGAAAGACGGTGCCCAGGAAGAAGGGACGACAGGGCGAGGGTGACGGTGGCCTCAGCAGAAAGAGTGTGCACACACACCTGTGTGTGTGCACGATCATGGGGGGGAGGGGTGCAAGGGAGGGGGTACCAGCCTTCTATATTTGGCCATGGCCTTTGGTGAATTTAGCAACCTTAGTAAGGGTACCAAAAATACCTACAAAGTACACTGAAATCTTCAGTGTGTCCTCTGTCCTTCACACGTAACAGCTCACATTTCCAAATGGTACTGCTTGCACTTTAACGCTCTTTTACTTATCCCCCGTGCAGGCGGTTGCCTCCGATCTCAAGAGCTCAAAACACTGCAGATCATAAGTTCATTAATCCTTATGACACATCTGGTAACTATTAATAAAAATGACTGCAAAGTATTTTGCAGCTATAAATATTAAGAAGTCCTGCGAGGCTCACGAATATAAGTATAATTATTTACATTTCACACTACAGAAACCAAGGCTCAGAGGCATTTACCTAACGGTTAAATGCATACAGACTGCCCAGGGGGGTCAGTGACAGGGATGGAAAGGGACTGTGGCCTGGAGGCCAGCTGAACCTGCCATCGTGCTGTCCCAAGGGTGGCTCAAACCTAGTAGATGGGCAGGTGACAGGCAGAGGGCTGCTCCGAAGCATTTCGGGGAAAAGGTGATGGTCACTTCTCATACCATACCTTGTCATTTACTAAACTCTGGTTTTCACATGCCACCTGAATGAAAACAGAGCAGACTGGCTCAGAATTTCATAACTAGGCATAAAAGCTAATTTGGAGACCTCCTTGCCCCAGAATAAAGCCTTAAGTCCTTGGCACGACTTGAAAGAACCTCACCTCTCACAAGGCTGCACTTCCCTCGCTTGGCATGCTAACCCACTCTGCGCTGAACACGCCGTCCTCGCGCTGTCCCTTCCCCTAGGGTATCACATTCCACCTGGTGAAGACCTAGTCATCTTTAAGTCTCAGCTCAAGCAACATCTACTCTTCCTCAAATTGCAGATAAAAT